CTTGTCGCTGGTGTACGTCATCAGGACATGTCTGGGCATGTAAGTCGGTCACAAACCTCCCGTCAGGAGAACTTTATAAGACAGGTCAGCCATGTGGAAGTGAGCTCATTTCAAGGCAATGATTCCAATTTTGTACTTTCTCCACCAGACAAATGCTGGCAAGAACCCCAGATCAGCAGTCCAAAGACTCGATTGATAAATATTCTGTTATATAAGGATGGTGGGTACTCTATAGTGTTGTGGGTAAAAGAATTTACCCACCTGAGTTCTGACTGCCACGTTCTGACTTATCTGTGTCACCTCAGATAAGTTATGTGATTTCTCTGTACCACCACTTCCTCATGTATAAAATGGGGAAAACTGACTCCTGACTCCCAGAAAGAACCCTCTCCATGACCTCTGGAATGTGGGCTCCATGAAAGGACAAATTGCTCGGCTCGCAGCTGCAGTTGCAGCCCCAGCGCAGAGGTGCCTGGCACTCAACAAATGCTGAGTGAAACTAAAGGACAATCAACTTCTTGAGATCAGGGTTTTTCCTCTTTGCTTTTTTTGGTTACTGCTACTTCAGCAATGCCTAGAACAGTGCCTGGCACAAAAGGGGCACTCAGTAAGTGCTTATTAAATGGATAAGTGAACAAGCCCTCAGGACTCACATCTGCCCTAGACTGTGCCTTGCGTATATATCCATGGCCTCTCCTGTTTTCCACACGGGGCCATGGGGAAGAAACCCCTCTGAGCCTACTTGGAGCTGCTGGCTCAGCCCTGAAGGAAATCATTTTGCTCTCTCTTCTTTATGACTGGAACACATGTTCCCATCCCAGCTCCCTGTGTCCTTGTTCATGAGAATGTAGAAGATAATTAACAGGGAGAAGGCAACAAAGTAAAAGGCTAGTGACACAAAAGTTACAACAGTTAGCAAACCAGACAGGGGTTTTTAAAAAGTACAAAAAAAGAAAAAAGAAAATGGATTCACAGAGTGGTCAGTGGTATTGCAAATGGTTCTGCTTGTTTTTTGGCCTCATAGGCTCCAGGCAGACAACAGCCTCCAACACTCCAAGTGAAGTGTGGCGTGTGGCAGGGCACCGGTGATCTGAATTTTTAAGATGACCGTGAGTAGTTCCTTGGCCCCTCCCAGTGCAAGCATTACTGTACTAACGAATGGAAAGAACTCAGATGATATGAAGACGGAAGAAATAAAATCTAGAAAGGGCAGGATCAGTAAAGATGAGGAAGAACAACATTTCCAAAGGACCTTCCATAGACCACTTCCAGGAGATGCTGAAAACTGTGAAAAAGATATTCTTCTGTGATCAATTTAGAGAACTGTTAGGTTAAACCGGTTTCTTGACTGCAAGACTTACTAGAATCTACAAAACATTAAATGTAAGCTCCATCTCCAACATGGGGGGTTTCATATACAGCATTTTTTACATAGCTGGCCAAAGAACCCTTATTTTTCAGAGTATCTTCCAGGATTGGTGTTCTGTACAGTGCCCTTTAGGAAATTCTAGGGTAGGATAATCAGGCACAAAATAAGGATAAAGAAGGCAAAGGACGAAACAGAGTCAGTTGGTGGATTAATGAATTCTATTAATAATAATTAGTTTATTCATCTCAGCATATTAAAAATGAGATGACTTTTTGGCCATTTACTTCATTTGGAATAACTTCCCATCCTTCTGGAAGTACAATTACAATCATGAAATTATGGAAACATAATTAGTTCATAGACAATAATAAAACCATTTATCACACTAACAGGGACAGCAGAGCAAATTTCCAGGCTAAAGTTATAGTCTTTTAATCAGCGGCAGCTACAAACACAAGCTTACAGCTTCCCCCTTGACCCACTGCTCTAGAAAGAAGAGAAAACATGATCTGTTAAGAATCTTCTGGTAGATCTCAAAGGGAAAGTTTGGAATTTAAAGGAAAGAAAAAAAAAATCAAGCCCTTATGCTCAAAATGTTTTGTTCTTCCCATTGAGTTGCCTCCAGGCTTATGAATGGACAAAAACTAATTGAAATTTTTCACTTTAGTTGAATACTACCCTCTGCTGGAATGTGCATATAGTTTCTAATATGTCCTCCAAGCGTACACAAATGCATTGTCTAGAAGGCCCATAAAATACACACTTTAATTATTTTGAGTTAGAGGACTTGAGTTTCTGTACAAATTCTTTTGCTTATTAACTTCAGTCCAACTGGCAACCGGGTATACTAACTTAGCTGTGCCCTAGTCCCATCCAACTTAACCTGTCTAAAACAGGATTAATCCTGCTTCCTTCATGCCTATGCCACTGAAGGATGCCCCAGGAATGGAGGAATCGCTCGACTCCCTCACTACGCCTTCGGTACCTGTGTCCCTACATCTCCAATCTCATTACACTGTTATGGTGCACACCCCCTTCTGCATTTCTCTTCTCTCTTCTCTCTTCTCTCTTCTCTCTTCTCTCTTCTCTCTTCTCTCTTCTCTCTTCTCTCTTCTCTCTTCTCTCTTCTCTCTTCTCTC